ATCTCAACCTTCCAAAAAAAATCAAATAAATATAAAAAAAATAATAGATAATTAGAACAGATAAATAAAAAGATATTATAAAAAAAATATATCTGATAATCAGAAAAAAATCAGAACAGATAATTTAAAAAAAATAATAATAAAATAAGATAAACCCAAAAATATCTTACAAAAATAATAATAATAATAATAATAATAATAAATATATAACTATATAAATAATATACATATAAATCTAATCTAAATAAATAAATACAGATATACATATATTAATAATAATAAATATAAAAATACAAAAGAAAAGAAAAAAAAAGGAAAAAAAAATAATAATAATAATACATGATTGAATTGGGCCTTACCCATTTGGGCCAGGCCCAAATGATCTGGGTCAGGCCCAATTGATCCGAGTCAGGCCCAATTGATCCGGGTCCGGACCTGATTGGGTGTCTACAGACAGCATTTGCAATCTAAGGTCTCTTGAGACCTTGAATCTTAATGGTTGCACGAAACTTAACAGGTTACCAGAGCATTTAGGCAAGTTGGAAGCTTTGAGAAAGCTTCTTGCTAATGGGTCTGCTATTAAGCAATTGCCTATTTCATTGGGACTTATGAAGAACCTTGAAGAGCTATTATTAGCTGTACGTAAAGAAGAGTCGACTACTAAGTCTTTGTCCCCATCCTTTTCAAGATGGGTTTCACCAAGAAGTGCAGGTTCTCCCACATTACTACCAGCTACGTTTAGTCATTTAAGCTCATTAACAAGGCTTAATCTCGGTTATCGAAACTTGTCTGACGATGACATTTCTATTGATTTTGGGAGTTTCCAATTTCTGAAATCATTGATTTTAGAAGGAAACAAGTTTTATAGACCACCAGTTGGAATTAGCAATCTTCCTAGGTTAGGTGAACTGTATTTAAATGATTGCACGAACCTTCAATCAATTCCAGAGCTTCCTTCAAATTTAGAATTCTTCGGAGCAAAACGGTGCACATCAATCTATAGATACCCAAAACTATTCGTAGGTGCGAGGATTGCGCAGCTCGTAATAACGAATTGCCCTGAGACAATGGACATGTGGGATCTTCCTCATCTCTCAACCCGACCGATGTTCCTTTTTGCGTATGAAGAACCGTCAAAGGTCTCTCTTTCTTTCTCTCTCTCTCTGTTAAATTGTTAATTTTCATAACGGAGATTTCATTGAAACAGGAGATTTTTAGGTCCAAGAACAGGTATTTGGAAGCTTGCATCCCGAGTAGAAAGGTGCCGGATTGGTTCGACTATAAAAAAATAGGATCTTCGATATTGTTTCATGGTCCTTTACTCTCAACTGGTGAAACTCGAGCTATGATTGTGTACGTTGTCTATTCGATCAAAGATGAGCATAATGGAAGTATTGATGAATCTCTTACCATACATTTTAAAAATAAAACCAAGGGCTATGAGAGTTTGGATAAGCCTTTTCCTCGTACCTTTGATACTGAGATAAGTCAAGATCATACCTGGATATGTTATTTGACGACCGAAGAGTATGTGAGTCTAAAAGTGGATGAAGGAGATGAAATTGAAGTTTCTGTTGAGGCGCATGGTGGAATTCTTGTGAAGGAATGTGGTATCCATTTACCAATTCATCAAATTGAGGTGGAGGTATGATCAGATTACACTAAAGTCGAATGTCTCAGTATTGTTTCAAAAATAATTTGAGGTTTTAAGTTCAAATTTCATCATCTATGTATTTTGATTTACATTTTGTTAACATAATAATAATTCATTACTAACAACAGTATTTCATTTCCATTGGATGTGTAGTTACTGCAAACTCTATAATACGAGATGCAGTAGTTAAAACAAGGTACAGAATTGACAATAGAAAAAATAAATACAACTGGGATATTCACCTGCACAGGCTTTCTACAAGTACTGATATTCAAGCTCTCCTTAATTTTATCATTATTATACCTCACACCAGAATGATGTCTGGTGGAGACCGATTCATACACAACATCTTGATTCAGTAAAAACTTTCTTTGGATTTAAATTATTATCACGATCACGTTTTAATTTATAGTGGTCATGATTTTTTTTTATTTTACATAACTTATCACAAAATGAACTAAATAATTATTATAATCATAATTACATTTATTTATGATATTTAAAGTATTTTATAATATTTTAATTCTTTTATTTATATGTTAAAATAAGATTTTTAACTACAACTCATAAATTAATATGTGTCTAAATTCATTAATATATTCATAAATTTTATGGACATAAATGATATAAATATATATTTAATCTTATTAGAAAGAATCAAGATAAACATTAAATTTTTCTTTTAAATAATTAATTAACAAAAATAATGTAGTAGTTCGCAACATAACTATAATTAAACTTACAAAAAAAATTCAATTAACAATAACGTTAATAATATGAAAATTATATAATAAAATTAATTCTTTTAAATAAAATAATTGTACATGTATTAAATTATAAAAAATTAAATTAACTAATTAAAAGGTCGCATCCTCTTAAAATTTCATTTAAATCATAAAAAATTTCCCAAATATCCAATTCTCATCCTTATTTACTTTTACCTCCTATCATTTCACCTAAATTCCAAAAAAAAAAAAAAAAATCAATTTTAATCTTTAAAACCATGTGACATCAGTATCAGCCTTAACTCCATATCAGCATGGTCTTCAGCCTTCCAAATCCCTATGCCATTTTCCTCTGTTTCTCGTTCTTCCTCTGTCTCTAGTTTTCTTTCTCATCTTGCAACAGAGCCACCAAACACAACCAACCACCTTATTTCTTTCTCAAATCCTCACTGTCTTTCCTTTGAAAGATTTTAAACTGTCATGTCTCATTTATCTATCTCCTTAAGAGTCAAAATCGGAGAAACAAAACAGAGCATAGCCTAAAGCTGACGGCTATGGAAGCTATATGAGAGCTCTTTGGTCGAATCAACCGTAACTCAAATTTTAAAAAATTTGGTATTTGTTTTTTACCATGGATTAATTTCATTTTTTAGTTTGATTGAGGCTTAAATTTGTTGGATTTTGATTGTTAGGGTGGGTTTTCTTATCTGGTTTGATTTTGTTTATTGTGTGATTTGATTTGAAAAATATAAAAAGCGGCTTTAACGTCTTGTTACAACTGCCATTGGCCATTATGCCTTATTTGCGACCGCAAAGCTTCGTTGTGAGTGTGATTGCCGTTCACAACCTCATTGCGGGTGCATAGCGGTGATGGAGGGTATCGCTACCACTAAATAGCGGCCCTACACCGCAACACCGACATTATTTGAAACCCCGGTCCAACAATGCGATGCATGATCTTTGCATTCCCATCCAGCGGCCACAGCTTATGCCCTAAATATTTCCCATAGACCTCATTGTTGGGAATAAGGAAAAAAAAAAAAAAAAGAGCAAGGACATGATTGGAAGAAAAAACTGCGGTGGGAAGGACAAATTTTCAATGGACCTAAAATGTTCAGTTGCTAATCGGGGGTATGGCACTATGAAATTACTTCAAATATGCTGCACCATTACATCCAAATGGGTGTCCAGCGGCATTTTGAGTGCCAATCGCAATTCACCGTGCGTGCGATTGCATCCAAATTAAATCTATGTATTTTGCTTCATATAATAAGAAAGACAACTGCCCCAAATTGATCAAACCAAGCCAGTCGGAGAAAATAGTCTTTTGGACGACAACAGTAGTTGTAGACCTGAGTTTGGTAATATTTTTCACCAAGATTTCTCAAACAAGCTAAGACTAGAATTATCACCAGTTAAGACTAGAATATTTTTCACCAAATTACTTTTCAGCACTAATGACACTCATTCTCTTGAGACCTTGAATCTTAACGGTTGCTTGAAGCTTAACAGGTTATCAAAGCATTTGGGGAAGTTTGGAGGTTTGAGAAAGCTTCTTGCTAATAGGCCTGCTATTAAGCAATTGCCTATTTCCTTGGGACTTTTGAAGAATCTTGAAGAGCTATTATTAGCTAGACGTAAAGAAGAGTTGACTACTAAGTCTTTGTCCCCATCCTTCTCAAGATGGGTTTCACCAAGAAATGCAAGTCCTTCCACATTACTACCAGCTATGTTTTCTCATTTAAGGTCATTAACAAAGCCTGATCTCAGTCATCGGAACTTGTCTGATGATGACATTTTTATTGATTTTGGGAGTTTCCAATTTCTTACATCATTGATTTTAGACAAAAACTAAAAATAGAAAAGAAAAAAAAAAGTTCGTTTAGGTACTACGTGGACACTTCTATTGAGTGGAATATGAATTGTTTTGATATTTTTAAGTTTTTTTATTGCATAATTTATCTAATTAAAAAAGAAAAAAGAAAAAAATTAAGGTGTCACGTGGTACATACATTGTTTTTTCACAAAAATTTATCTAAATTAAAAAATTAAAAAAAACAACAAAAACCTAAGGTGGCACATTAAAACCTTGAATAAAGGTCAAATAAAAGTAAAAATGAGTAAATCTTATATAATGAATGGATCAACAGTTTACATCTTAATTATATATAAATATGATTTTTTGTAAGTTAAAATATTAAATAATAATTTTATTAATATAATATGTATATAAATATAAAATTAAATAAAATAATATAAAATTTAATTTAATATACAGTTAAATCAAGATATAATATCATAAGCCAAATTTGACTAGATTTTGATTTTTGAAAAAAAATGCATTAATTCGATTTCAAATAAAAATGCAACTAGCTGATTTGGATGAATTTAAAGTTGTTGGATACGTATTGTTTTCTTAATAATACCTCAATTTACATTTCTTTAAAATAAATTATTTATCAATTTTTTTATTATAAATTATCTAATTAAAATAAACTGAAAAGAAAAAAAATAAAAAATGAGTTACTCTTACATATTTGTTGCTTTTTTTTTCAAAAAATTATCTAATTAAAAACAAAAAATAAAAGTAAAAAAAAAAAAAAGCAAAAGAAAAGTAAAAAAAACAAAAAAAAAAAAAATGGACGAAAGTTAGGGTGTCAAGTGACATTAACAATGATGAGTTTTTATTACAAAAATTTTTATCACGGATTTATATCTTTCGTTTTTATTTTATTTTAATTTATTTTATTTTATGTTTTCTTTTTTTTATAATAATAATTTTTTGAGATAACTTTTTTTTTAGTGTAGGACCAATTTGATATCATTGATTGAAAATATCTTTTTTTAATATGATATTCTTATAGTTAAAACAAACAAAAAAAAAAAGAAAAAAGAAAGGCTCCAAAGAAAAGAGACAAAAATCAAATTCAATTGTCATATTGACACTTCTATTAATATTATTTTCTTCCAAAATGATCTAATCACACGATAAATACAATAAAAAGGGAAAGGATATTTTTAATCAATAACCTAAAATTGGCCACAAACATAAAAAAATATTTCAAATATTTATTAAATACTAAAAAAAGAAAAAAAAATAGGGAAAATGCTAAAAGCGAACAAAAAATAATTGTGTTGGCACGTCATGTCAATAACGAAAAGTTTAAAAAATTATATAATGAATTAAAAAAAAGACTAAAAAACAAAAAAAAATCAAATCTAGATATGATTTCTACACATTTGTTATATCTATTTCTCAAAAAATTATTAAATTAAAAAAATAACGAAAAAAATTTGTATTTTTAATAATATTATTAAATGGGCCTAATGTCAAAAAAATGTTAAAAATTTAAAATTTTTATCAAATAAAAATAGGAAAATGTGAATAGAAAAAAAATTAAAAGACAAGAGACAAAAGAATCAAATGGATTAATATGTTACATATCATTCATATCAAGTGAGTACTTCAAAAAATAAAATTAAAAATATTATTAATTAAATATATAAAAATAAAAAAATGAAAATAAGCAAAAGTTAAAAGCTGAAAAGAATATGTGACATAATATTAGTATCAAGTAGGTCAAATTCAAAACAAATACTAAAAGAATATTTATTAAGTTTTCAAAAAAGAAAAAAATTTTGGTATCAATTGGGTGTGACAAAAAATTAAAAATGATTATTAAATATGAAAAAAAATACACATGAGACTAAGTAGTAAAAACAAAAACAAAAACAAAAGGAAAAACTGAGTTTTATAAAATATATACATAAAACAATTATTCCACTAAAAAGTGAGTCTTACAACATTAAAATTTTAAAAAATAAATACATAAAAATGAAAGAAAAAATCTGTGTGTCTCACGAATAAAAACAAAAAAATTTTAAAATGAAAAACCCATGAAAAAATAACAAATTTTGAAATTTGAAAAAAAAAAATGAAAATGGGTTCCACTAAAAAATAAAAGTGAGCCCACAGCATAAAAAAATAATTAAAATGTTACAAAAATATATTAAAAAAAAAAAAAAAAAAAAAAAAACCTGATGGTGGGTTCTAGCAATTATGTATTCTTAGGGCATATAAATTAGGATGGTTGATTTTTTGTCTTATTACAATCTGTTGACTACCTATCATGTATAAATGATCACTATTACATTGTCAAAGAATAAGCTGAATACGTCCTCCACAGGATAAATAATTGAGAACTAAGTTTTATTTGTATTTGAGAGAATTAGTGTCTTCCTCCCATATATTTTTAATTGTTTAGACTGTGGTAGTCATATTTCCTTCTTTGGGTTTGACATTTTACGGTACACTTCTGGTGACCTCTTGTCCTGTCGTTTTGTTTTATCTAAAGAACTCACCCTTTCTTTTTTATCACTGTTGAGCTGTTAATCTTTCTTTTTTTTTTTTAATTTTCTATATGTAATAAGGATTGCCAAATATCAAATGTTCAATCCTTCATGAAGAAATATTGAATATGTTTGAGCTTTTCCATTCCTTGGTTATGAATTGTAATGCTTAGGTCATATCTAATTACTCTTAGATGCATATATCAACTTCCTTTGCTGGCTGATCAAGTGAAACCTTTAAATGAATATGAAGATGATGGAAGTAAGCAATCTTGTATGGAGAAAAAGTACTTATCAAAAAAAAAAAAAAAAGAGAATGTGGTACTAAAATATCTAATATTTTAATGTATCTAGCTCTAAAGGTTTCACCACAGAAACAAGGGGGCAAAGTGGTTGAGCTAAAATCTAAAATTTGAAAAAAATAAAAAAAGAAAACAACCAATGTTAGTTAATAAAAAAGAATTCAAAAAGGGCAAAAAACAGGAATCGACGTACGGAGCGCAATGCAAGCCACAACATTAATATTATTTATTGTATAGATATATTTTATTAAAAAAATCATCTATATAAAAATTATTATAAAAAAATCCAAATAAGCATTATACAAGTTTTGAAAAAAAAATTAATTTTAATAAAATTTCTTTATATTATGAAAGTAAAATTACATATAAAATTCAATGAAAAAATCAATATCTTTTTCACAATTACATATATTCTTAAAAGTATATATTATTTTAGTATGAAAATTAAAATTTACACATATGACATGTTATTTATAGGTTGTAAACCTTAATTTTGTATTTTTTAAAAAAAATTTGGGCAATAAATTTATAAATTTTAATTTGAAATTTCAATGAAAACAAAAAGAAATTTAGCCTAATAATTAGGATTTATCACCCAATTAATGTGTTAAAGATTATTATTTATATGATTTTGAATTCAAAACTTTTTATAAAAATCAAATAAATTCATAATATTGATAATTAAATTTAGCATTTCAAGACCAACGTAAATACTATTCAAAATCCAAAATTGCCAAAAGAAAAGTGGGGTATGAACTGTAATTACATGCTTCTTTATTAAATTGTTATATGATAAATATTTATCTTTTATTTTTCCTAAGAACAAATGTACTTAATATGATTTTAGGCTTAAATCAAGATTTAGGATTTTAACTATTAGACAAAATTGTGAATAATTTGATCAAAATATAGTAGCAAATTAAAAATAATCGAACATGCAATATGAATTTTAAAAAGCATATATTTTTATCAAATTAGTTTAATTAGATTAATTGAAATAAATTTTTATCTAAGTTTAATTTTAAATTAAGATAAAGATGTTATAATAATTCTAAATTTAGATATGTGTACAATTTTAAATTGAGATAAAATATTTTTCTCTTTCATTTTAAATCATAGAAAAAATAAAGGTAAAAAAATTGTTAAACAATAGTGATTCAATCATAGCCTTTATTTATTTAAATTTATATGAATATTGATTTAGACAGTGTATAATTTTTTTATGGTTTCTAAAATTTAGGGATTTAATTTTTAAAAATTATTTGAATTTTGTAGTTCATATATATGGATAAGAGTGAGGTATAAAATGTCTTTTTTTTTAATTTAAATTAGGATATAATCTATATATTTAAAAAAAAAACTTTTATAAATGTAAATTTTAAAACTTTAAAATTTTTAAAAATTAAATAAGTAATTAAATAAAATTATTTAAAACTATCATTTGTGTCAATAATATAGATTATTTACCTAAGTGTTCACGTAAATAAACATTTTCAAGTTTCTATGTATGTTATAATATAATATTTATATGAATAATGATTTAGATGGTATATGATTTTTTTTAATTTCTAAGATTTAGGGATTTAATTTATAAAATTATTTGAATTCTTTATTTCATATAAATGTGTAAGAGTAAGGTATGAGATATGTTTTTCTGGATTTAAATTTGGATAAAACTTATATATTTTAAATGTTTTGGATATATGTAAATTTTGAAACTTTAAAATTTTTAAAAATTGAATAATTAATTAAATTAAATTATTTAAAACTATCGTGTCAATAATATAGATTGTCCACTTAATTGTCTACGTAAATAAATTTTATCAAGTTTTTATGTATATTGTAATATAATATTACATATGATTTATCTAAAAAATCAAAATTCATTTAAAAATAAAAATTTTTAGGGACAAATTTAGGTTTTTCTTCTATTTATGTGAATTTTATATAGTGGTTATAGTCCTCTAAAGTCGAGAAAAAAATAGTGGAAGTGCAAAAAAAAATGCAATTATTTATAGTAGGCTTTCTTTTAAAGTCTAATGAAAATTTTGGATAAAGGAACCAAATTTAAATAATTAGATAAATAATTTCTTATGTTTTTCTTTTTCAAGCTTTCTATCTGGATAATAATTTTTAAGTTAAGAAAATAAAATTAATTTATTTTCCAATACCAAATAGTAACTCTAAACTTGGTGACTTATTTTATTTTAAACTTAAAAAAGAATTAAAAAGTTTCTAAATCCTCCAGCAATAAAAGATGCAAATGCATGATCTAAAACCTTTTTTATGTTTGTAATGTAAGGTAAGTTGAGGACAATGAAAGGTAAAGATTTGAGAATGTTAATATTATTTTAAAAGTGAAATGTGAAAGATGCTTGTTTATTTATTGATTCAAACAATCATTTATAAAACATAATATTTAGTAAATTTTGAAATTTAAATTTTAATATTTACAAATCTTCTTTTATTATTGGGTTAATAATATCTATAATCACTAAACTTTAATATAAATTCTATGTTGGTATCTAATTTTTAAAAAATTTTATTTAGATTCTCAATTATCTAAAGTTAGTTGACATCTCATATGACAGAAAAAAAATAAAAATAAAATTCTCTTAAAGTTTAATGATTAAAAATGAAATTAATTTAAAATTTTATATATAAAAATAAGTTCGCAATTATTATATTCTCTTTCTTAAATTATAGAGAACAGAGAAGGATAAAAACTGAATAAAATTTAAATTTAAAATTTAATTTAATTCATTCATATAATTATTGATAAAAAATATTTTTTAATAAATTTAAAATTCAAATCTCAATAATATTTTTTTCTTATCCCATACTATAACTGTTTTATAAAAAAAAAAATCCATAAGGTAGTTTGTTGGCAATAATAAACAAGGAAAAATAAGATGAAGAGATTATTTGGTGTGTTTATCCACTGCCGCACAAAGCAAGTAAATAAGAAATCTCACTTATTACTTCATAATAAATGGAGGAGAGTGATCAATTTCATAATCAGTGAGGGCTCAAGCATCCACTGGCCCTGCCGTTTACCTGGATATCTACATGATAAGAAAGCCATTATTACCATGTCTGGCTTGCATTCAGAACCACCTGCTGTGACCTCTAAAACATCAACAAGCTGAGATTCATTTAAAAGTTTGAAACAATTAAATTTTACCTGTACCTTCATTGTTTGTTATTTATCCTCCATCTTCACTTCTTTTGCCTTCAGAATTTGTCTCCATAAACCTTCCTTCATAGCACCGGTTGTGTTGCTTTAATATGTCATTTTCTAGGGGGGTTGGTAGAATTATATATACACAATATTTCTTCTTTACCAATTGCCTTGATGTTTCTAAAACTTATCCAATTTCAATTACAGTGTTTTTACAAGGTTTTGGTCTTTCATTATAAAGTCTATATCAAAGATAAACATAAAAACAAAATTGACTTGATATATATCAAACGAAGCTTACAATTGAATTAGGATTTTCTCGTGAATTTTATCTTCCCTACACTTCCACTAATCAGCAACTTCTGTGTCTCTCTTTGATGTTTAATTTTTTATTTTAATTTGGACAATGATATAGTATCCATCTTATACTCATATAGCATATATATAAATATATTTAATAAATTAATTTTTATTTAATAATATAAATTTTATTTTAAATTACTTAAAATTAATATATTTGTATTTAAAAATATATTTATAAAAAAATTACATAAATGTGTAAACTAAAAATAAAAAAACTAAAAAAACAATGTTTATTTTTATTTTTAAAAAAACTATGAGTGCAAAAATTATCCATCATTATTTGGATAAATTTAAGATACTTGTTAAGTGTGGTACTTAAATTGATAGAATATAAAGTATAAAAGATGAAAATGAAAAATATTTTTTTACCTCATACTCTATTTATTGAAGTCTTTTATGAAATAATCTAGGTATTTTCCTGTGAATTTCTATTCCCCTGTTGAATTTCTTTGGTCTGTCAAAATCATTTAATAGTTTGGGGTAAAATTTTCTGTGGAGCTAGTAGAAACGTAGTAACACAATCTTTTCCTTGTTTACCAAACCTCAATGTTTCCTGAGGTTGTTAAATTTCAATTATCGTGTCTTATAAATTCTTGAATATTTTTAATATTTCAGTCTAAATTCCATGTACGACAAAGGTAAAATAAAATTGACTTTATGAAATTATTACGAAACTTACAATCGAATTATGATTTTCTCATTAAGTTTTTCTTCTCTTTCCTTTCCCTCACCATCCCTTGTGTTACCTTTCCTTTTTTTTTTTTTTTTAAGACAAATATGCATCAACATCACCCATTAGATCAGTTTTTTTTTTTTTTGCCAATATCCAATAAATGAAAGGATCATAGCGTGAAAAAAATAAAATTTTTAAGTAAAATTTATGAAATTTTTTATTAAAATTAATTAAATTAAATTTTAAAATTAAAATTTATAGATTAAAAAATTTTGTTACATAAATTTGGTGTGTCAATTTTGAAAAAAAATTGATAAATGTTAATATATTTTTTATAAATATTTTTAATAAAAAAATTTTGATAAAATTTTTATCGATGAATAAAAATTTGTCAAATTTTAATTATAAATTATATTTTTAATAATTTTTTATTGATCTCTATTAATTTATTGATTTAGATATTTATTAAAACTTTTATTAAATTATTTTTAATAAAAATTTTATAAATTTTACATAAAAATCTTCACCTAAGGTCTTTGTAGTAGTTTGTCCCGAAGAACTTAGAGAAGTCTCTCTAGGGAGCAAGATCTACGAAAATTAAGTAACGATATGGAAATGGGATCAGCTAAAGATTTTTCCAGCCCCCAATTAATTTCTTTGACCAGATCGTTTGGTGATGATTTGAAAAAACATTTTCTATTTGAGTTTCGGAGAAAGAGCAACAATCCCAAAAATACATCTAATATATTAATTTTTTCACATGGGCCTAACCACCATCGACCATAAAGTTACACTTGATGTTCAAAGTTTGCATAAACCTTTTTCTCTTTTATTTTTTAGGTTGACTTCCATGGCTTCCACGTACTTATCTGAAGCATCTTCTTCTGCCCCAAAATCTAAATATGAAGTGTTCCTAAGTTTCAGAGGTGAAGACACTCGCAAGAACTTCACAGATCATCTCTACACAGCTTTGATAAGAGCTGGAGTGAACACCTTCAGAGATAATGAACTTTCAAGAGGAAAAGACATCTCCTCAGAGCTGCTCAAGGCGATCCAAGAATCAAAAATTTCTATTGTGGTCTTTTCAAAAGGCTATGCTTATTCCAGGTGGTGCCTTAATGAGCTTGTGAAGATTATTGAGTGCAAAGAAACAATAGAGCAGATTGTTATTCCAATTTTCTACGATGTTGATCCATCTGAAGTTCGGAAACAGACAGGAGGTTATGCAAAAGCTTTTGCTGAACATGAAGAACACTTTGAAGCAAATATGGAGATGATCAAAAGATGGAGGACAGCTCTTTCAGATGCTGCAGATTTATCTGGTTGGAATCTGCAAGACGCTGCAAACGGGTATTTAATTCTTTCTAATTAAGATAAACTATCCCAAAAATATGTTTAACACATGGATGGCTGATTTGTACATAACAAAAAGGTAAATTGAACAGAACCAATTTTGGATGACCAAATTAAAACATTATTCTTAATTGTGCACAAGGTTATACTTGATGAAAGTTTATAATTTGTAATTCAAGAAAAAAATCTGTATTTGTTTTTTGTTATATGAATTGCATTCACATTTGAATATTCTTCTGATATAATTGTCCTGGTGATGTAAAAGTAAAGCATAATCCTCAACTGCAATTTTGGATTGTTTTGATTTCATAATTTGAGTCCGTCCTACCCATCGCAACCTGGATACATTGTCTTTACTATCTACTAATCTAAATTTGCAGGCATGAATCAAAGTTTATCCAACAGATTGTGGAAGATGTCCTCAGAAAAATAAACCGCTTTTGCTTGCATGTTGCCACTTACCCAGTTGCTTTAGAATCCCGCTTAGAAAAGGTAATGGAGTTATTAAGCATGGGGTCTGATCATGTTCGCATAGTGGGCATCTATGGAATGGGGGGTATAGGAAAGACCACCATAGCAAAAGCTGTCTACAACTCTATCTGTGATGGGTTTGATGGAAGCAGTTTCCTTTCAGATGTTAAAGATATCTCTAAGAAAACTAATGGTCTTGCAAGCATACAACAACAACTCCTTTCTGAAATCCTGCATTTGAAAAGTATTAGGATTCATAATGTTGACAGAGGAATCAATTTGATCCGGGAAAGGCTTTGTCATCGCAGAGTTTTAATTGTTGTTGATGATGTGGATGATTCAACACAACTGAATTCATTGGTTGGGGATCGATATTGGTTCGGTGTAGGAAGTAGGATTATTGTTACAACAAGAGATGCACGTTTGCTAACTGAATTAGAGGTGGACGGAAGATACAGAGTTGAAGAATTATATTATGAGGAGTCTCTCAAGCTTTTTAGTTGGCATGCGTTTAGGAAGCCTAATCCCAAAGATGGTTACTTCCAACTTTCCAAGAGCGTGTTGGATCATGTTCAAGGACTTCCCCTAGCTCTTGAACTTCTTGGTTCTCATTTGTTTAAAAGAAGCCAGTTTGAATGGGAAAGTGTGGTGGAAAAATTGCGACACTTACCTCATGACCAAATTCATAAGAAGCTTAGGATAAGTTTTGATACACTAGATGACCAAGTGAAAGCCATATTCCTTGATATTGCATGTTTCTTCGTCGGACTGGATAAAGAGTATGTCATGAAGATACTAGATGGTTGTGGTTTCTTTCCAGTAATCGGTGTTAGTGTTCTCTTGGAGAGGTCTCTCATTACAATTGATCACCAAGGTGGTCATACGCTTATAAAAATGCATGACCTACTTCGAGACATGGGAAGAGAGATTGTTCGTGAAGAATCACCAAATCATATTGGAAAACGCAGCAGGCTATGGTTTCATGAGGATGTAGTAAACTTACTAAAAATGCACAAGGTAAAAGTTTACTAAAATCATTTCATACATATAAGTATATAAGTATTCTGATTGATCAAAGGGATGATATTCTTTTTTTTTTTTTAGGGAACTGAAGCTGTGGAAGGTCTTAGCCTAGATGCATCGGCCTGCAGAGAAGATGTCATTGTGAGCAGTACCAAAGCATTGGCAAAGATGATCAATTTAAGACTGCTGAAAATTAATTCCATACTTTTCGCTAGTGGGAGCTATGAAAACTTTTCCAAAGAATTAAGATGGCTTTGTTGGCATAAGTGTCCTCTAAAAGTTTTACCACCCAACCTCGATTTAGACAACATGTCTGTTCTTGACTTGCGACTTAGTAATGTCAGAAAAGTTTGGAAGGAGACAAAGGTAATTAAAATCACTTTGCAGCACCAATGACACTCATTTTCTTTTCAATATTAATAACAATTTCATGTTCGCTTCTAATTTTATTACATACTAACTTGTTCTTATTCTCTCTTTCTTGTTGTAACAGTTTCTCCACAAGCTTAAAATACTAGATCTCAGCTATTCTATATGCCTTGTGAAGACACCGAACTTAGCTGGACTCCCAAATCTGGAAAGACTAGAATTTGAAGGTTGCACAAGTTTGATTAAGGTTCATCAGTCCATTGGGCTGCTGGAAAGACTTGTAATCTTGAATTTGGCAGAGTGCAACAACCTAAGGGAACTTCCAGACAGCATTTGCAATGTAAGATCCCTTGAGAACTTGAATCTTAATGGTTGCTTGAAACTTAACAGGTTACCAGAGCATTTGGGCAAGTTGGAAGGTTTGAGAAAGCTTCTTGCTAATGGGTCTGCTATTAAGCAATTGCCTATGTCCTTGGGACTTTTGAAGAACCTTGAAGAGCTATTATTAGTTGGATGTAAAGAAAAGTTGACTACCAAGTCTTTCTCCCCATCCTTCTCAAGATGGGTTTCACCAAAAAGTATAGGTTCTTCCACATTACTACCAGCTACGTTTTCTCATTTAAGTTCATTAACAAAGCTTGATCTCAGTCATCGAAACTTATCTGACGATGACATTTTTATTGATTTTGGGAGTTTCCAATTTCTTGGTCAGTTGTATTTAGATGGAAACAAGTTTTATAGACCGCCAGTTGGAATTAGCAATCATCCTAGCTTATTTGAACTGCATTTAAATGATTGCACGAACCTTCAATCAATTCCAGAGCTTCCTCCAAATGTAAATTACTTCAAAGCAAAACGGTGCACATCAATCTATAGATACCCAAGCCTATTCAACGTAGAATCGAAGATTATGCGGCTCAAAATAACGAATTGCCTTGAAAGAATGGACATGTGGGATCTTCGTCATTTAAACCATCGGTGCTTCTTCGGCCGGGGAGAGGTTCTCTTTCGGTGCTCCTTCGGCCGGGGAAAGGTTCTCTCTCTCTCGCTCTCTCTCTCTCTCTCTCTCTATATATATATATATATATGTTAAATTGTTAATATTCATTACGGAGATTTCATTGAAACAGATGAGATTTTTGTCCAAGGAAAGGTATTTGGAAGCTTGCATCCTGGCTACAGAGGTGCCCGGTTGGTTCGACTATAGAGAAATGGGATCTTCAGTATTGTTTCGTGTTCCTACATTCTCAACTGGTAAAATTCGAGCTATGATCGTGTGCGTTGTCTATTCGATCAAAAATGGACGAAACACTTACAATTCTCTTACCATACATTTTAAAAATAAAACCAAGAACTATGAGACTTTCGATAAGCCTTCATTTTCCCTTGATACTAATATATGTCAAGATCATACCTGGATATGTTATTTGACGACCGAAGAGTATGTGAGTCTAAATGTGGATGAAGGAGATGAATTTGAAGTTTCTGTTGAGGCGCATGGTGTAATTCTTGTGAAGGAATGTAGCATCCATTTACCAATTCATGAACTTGAGGTGCAGGTATAACTGGATTAGACTAAAGTAGAATGTTTCAATATTGTTTCAAAAATAATTTGAGGTTTCCAAGTTCAAATTTTATCATTTATTTATTTTGATTTAACATTATGTTGGATTTATTTAATTATATACAAGTTCTAAATTTGTTGATTTATTTATTTAATTTAGTTATTTTTTATATATAATATTTGAATATAATTGTAATTTTTTAGTAATAATAATTTTATAAAATAAATTGTTCCAAAAAGGCCGTGCAATAAGAAAAAACAAAATGGGATTGCTTTATTCGCTAAAAACGCTTTAATCAACTAAGTAGAGAATTTTTTATATCTAACAAAAAGAGAAAATGTTTCGACATTTGAGAGAAATTTCTTTAATTATTAAACTTTTGTAATAATCAAATTAGCGTGGAATGAAGTAAAGTGTTATTAGAAAATCAAATTAAAATTTGTTTCTTTTATTAAGATTTAAATGGCTTGGACTTTTTATTTTAGTTTGAGTTTTGATGTGTGAAATTTGATCGATTTTCTTTTGACTTCCTACCTTAAGTTTCATTTGACAGTGCGAGAGCTGATCAAATGGAGAACAGGCAGGACACTTTGTTTAACTTCTTACGGAAGGCTGTTCATGACCCTACTTTTGTTGAACGTCTTGTCCACAGAAGTTCTAATGAAGATGGAGCAAGTCTACAGAAGAATATCTGAAGGAGAACCAAAAGATGCTCAGACAAGACCCGAGGGTCTTTTATTAGCACCTGAAACATTAGACCTTTTAGATACAGGCACATCGTTTACATTCAAAATGGATTGATCTTTCGCTCAAAGAGTACAAATGAATGGAAGCCCAACAGTGCATTCCCTGCAACAGAGATTAAATTCCAATGAAGAACCTGATAGCCATATTTCCTGCCAATTCAATCTAACTCTCGCATCTTCATTGCAAGTTAATAAATGTCCTAGCTTAGCTATGATGTCCCAACTAGGTGAGGAAATTGGAAAGTTTGTTCACGAGTGCCTCATCTGGAAGCCGGAGGGTTGATGCGGCACGGTTGTGGTCACTTTTTGACCTCAATCACACTGGCATCCCGTTTGGGTTTCCTTCGACGGGGTACCGTTGAAGCATTTCACCGGTCCCCTAGCTTCAGTCGGCAACCGGAGAGGGAACCCTTCGGTGGTCAACTGGAGTGCTTTTTTCATGTTTATTCTTGCCACCCTTTTGTATTTTTTTTTGTATTTTTAATTTAAGAAATTATAAAATAATCTTTTTAAAAATAATATGAAAAATAAATTTTATTATTATATAAAAATAATAAAATTTATTATTGAGGAAGAATCTACTTGCGTCACCATAAAACTTTTTTGTTTCATTTTCTTTTAATCTTTAATTTTAATAGATTTAAAGGATGAGATTAAATTTTTTTAATTTATTTATTTTTAGATTTATTAAAATTAATGATTAAAAAAATTATAAAAAGTATTTTTTTATTAAACTTGATCCCTCCCTTTTCTTATTATATTAAGAAAAAATTATATTATTATTTTATAATTTAATATTTTATTATATACAAATTTTAATATAATATTTTGAATTATCATTTTTTATTACAATTTATTTCATTGATTTTATTATGCTTGCATTAAAATGTTTATTCATATTAATTTTAATTTTATCATTATAATAATTAATTCATCGTTACAATAATTAATCTCATATTTATTATTGATTTCACTTTCATTAAAATTAATCTAACTGTAAGCTCAAATAAAACTTAATTAAAACTTATCCAATATAAATCCAAACATTTTTTCAAACTTAAACTAATTTAATTTTAAAGTTAACAATACAAAATCAAAATGATCCAAAGACGAATTAAAGTTGCATAATTTAAGTAACAAATTCGTATAACATGAACTCTAAGATATTCAAATATAAAATGACCTAAACTTTTTTCAACCCAAAGTAACCCGATGATCCAACCAATATGCCAAATTGCTCCTCCTACAAAAGTTAACATTACATTCACATCTTAGCTTGAATCTAAGTCAAGCCAGCCAGCTGGTGATTAGTTGGTGTTTTGTTCCGTCCAGTTATTTGTCTAGTGAAAGACTACAGTTTAAGAGTGGGAGAAAGAAAGATTTATTACAGTTTCCATTAATAATTGTGCAGAAAAACAATTATGACAGAATAGTTGCTGATGGTAAAACCAATAACAGACAATTTTTTTATATTAATTTTTTCTAACGTTTATTCCCTTCTTTTTGTGCAAAATCGATGGATCACATCATCCTTCTCAAGCATATTTCTGGAGATTAGCTTAGAAGAAATGATGAATGTTTCTTGTATTAGTTGTCATATTCTGGGTTAATTGAAGTGGTGATTAGTACATCCTGTTTGTGGTTATGTATTTATTACGGTGGGTCTGTGAGGTTCCCATGGAATTAAAGTGGTAGCTGTTGCCTCAATATGCACTCCACCTTTCTTTGATGATATTAACAGAAGGGTTGCTCTTAGGACTTGGCCCCAAGGATATATACTTCTAAGTCTAGTGGATTTTTTATTCGATACTATATATTAAAGATTCTTACTTTTAATATTATATATATATATAGGGAATTGAAATAAAAAAATTAAAAATTTGATTGATGAAAAAAAAAATGATTATTTAATTATAATTGAAAGATATTTTAACCGTTTAACCTAAAAAAATTAATTAATTTAAAAATTAGCATCACAAAAATAACAATTAAAATACATAAGAATTAACATTCATGAAAATAAATTAAAAAAATAAATTTTAGCAAACATTTATTTTTTTATAATTATTTTATTTCTTATCGTTAAACTTATAATATCATCAATTTATTACCTTACTTTGTCATTTTTTTTATTTTTTATTTAACATTCAGTAACATTCAACTAAAGAAAGAGTTTGACAAAAATATTATTTCTTTAGGATCTTCAAAATATAGAATATATATATATATATTTAAAAATTAAAACGATATCCACTTTAAAATTTAGAAACTGTTAATTAATTAATTAAAAAAAAAAAAGTAAAGAAAGAGTCCCCCACTCTTTACTGTATTTCCAAGCGAAGGGGGATAATTTGGTTTGTAACATAAATACATGTAAGCTTGAAATTGTTTCCATGTCTCATCCTCATCCATCACCCCTCCAGCCACCCAAAAAGTCTGACTATCAGTCCCATGAAAGAGCCAAAGCAGATCAATAAAACTCCAAACTAACTCACAAATCCCCAAATCCAAACCCCAAAAAATGCCCACACTCAACCTCCTCATCACCAGCCTCTCGCTATCCCTTCTTTTCCTGCAAACCTGTGACTCTGTCTCAATTTTAGACCTCGACAATGCACTGAAAGCCAGTGAAGTTGATGTCATGGTGAGAAGGGTTTGCACCAAAAAGCTTGAAGATTGTTTAGAAGAGCAAGAAATGGAGTCAGAGAGCAACAGGAGAGTGCTAGTGATGCAAAGAAGGTACATCAGCTATGAGACACTGAGGAGAGACATGGTCCCTTGTTTAAAGCCTGGTGCTTCTTACTATGATTGTCATGCTGGTGAGGCAAATCCTTACAACCGAGGTTGTGAGATTATTACGAGATGTGCTAGAGGCATCAAAGACATCAAAACCTGAAAACCCCAAAATTGAAGTTTTAGCTATGACAGCTGCTTTCTGCAAGTGGTGATGTCTTTGTGGTGTGTTTCTCAGACTTTTGGTGTCTTTCTGGGTTTTTGGGTTATGGTTGTATATTAAAGATTCTTACTTTTAATTTGCTACATATAAATGCATGCTTAACTTGAATTTTCAGTAGATCTGTGGCTTCCTTTTTAGATTATTTAAGAAAATTAACTTGGTGTTTGTTAGAGTAATCTTCATTGCTGGTTTCTTTTTTTTTTTTGAAATCTGTGCAATAAGAGAATAAAGGGATAACCCGGAGTAGTTTCTTGCCATTAACATGAGCAAAGAAATTTTTTTAGATTGCAAAATCATGATTGTCAAGATGTTGTACATTCGAATCGGCAATTGTGATTTCCTAATAAAAACCCCATTCAGAACCTAAAATTGTGATTTTCTGCATTATTTGTTGAAACTTTTCAGATGAAGAAATAAGTCTAACTGGAGTGGAGGGCAGAAGGAAATGTTGATTAATTTACTGTTAAGTCTGACCTATCTAATGGTCAATCAACTTCAAGAAAATCCAGGCAACTCTCCTCCCCACCCTAGTCCATAGACTGAGAGGAATTCATAATAATACCGACCCTTCTTTGAAAAAACAGCCCTTGATACCCACATAAGATAAAATTCCTTAATTTAAAAGCATATCTTTCTGTATTAGTCTTGTAGCAGGTTTCTATGGTGCTGAGATTAATTAACGTTCTTTATTTATTCAAGTAGAAATCGAAATCATGTTTTACTGTAAAGGGATCATTGTAATTTTCTCGTTATCTGATAGTCCATAATGTCATTGAAATACCAAATAGGTGATTAAATATTCAGGTTACCTACCTCTAGTTCTATCTAGCCTTTTGGTTCATTCTGTTTTCCCTTATGCCCCAAAATAAATGCAGGATTTCATTTCATTTTAACTTTAAGTGTTTGACTAACTTCTATTGGCTTTGATCATCACATGGTGGTAGTGATGTTAAGAGCTCATACAGGGGTTTTTCTTCCCTGTTGGTTTATCACACTCATTGTTTCTTGTTAGTGATTTCTTTTCTTTCTCTTTCTCATTTGCTTTATTGAATTTGATATCATATCCCTTTGGACAGTCTGCCTTCATTTTAGTCGAATATAAGTCATTGAACTGATTCTTCTCCGACATAGACACATGATCATTATTGTTTGCACACCATATAGTCACATGAAATGTTCTTATTAGTTAAAATTTCTCTTTATCTACTACAAGAAGATAGGATTTAGAAATATAAAGTAAATATTTTTGTGGGATTCCAAGTTGATGGCATGTTGTAACCAGTCGCTAAGAATAAGTAGGTTATTCCTAATTTTAAACTCCCTGCAGTATTTTCTTTTTTTTCAAAGGAAGTGGAAAAAAATTCCTGGCAGCGGTTGAATTTTTATTTTTTTTGTTTCCATTGTCAGTTATTATCATCTGCAATGCAAATCAGCAGCTAAGAAGTTCTTCATCCAGATGTTGTGGATTAATCAGCAAATCATGACTATCAGTTCCACTCGAATTTTACTAGAATAATGTCATTATCTTTAGTTGTTTGTCAACATTCTATTTCTTTCGTGTTTTCCCAAAGCATTCTTCTTGATCAGTTCTCAAACCAGCATTCCATTTTATCTTTCTTTTGATAGATGATAAGACTTTTTTTTGTTTGCATTTATTCTATTTTAAATGCTTATTTATAAACTACTATAATGATCTACGCTAGAAACTGTTTTCATTAAGTATTTGTGTAAATGCTGAAACACATTGGTTTCCATCGTTTTCCCTTCTTCAGTGCACTGTATTTTGTGCCATCGTCAATGGCTGATACCACTTTCCTTTCCCCCAACTGCTCCTTTGATTCTTGTTATAGAAACCATTACTACTTAACAAATGATACGTCTTAAATTGTGCTGCATTAGTTTGTAGAAGAGCAAGTAAAATGTGCACTTAACCTTTTGAGGAAATGCAGGTTTTTCCAGCAAGCCATGATTTAGTAAAGTTTTGATGCATAGATTAGGTGATTCTGAGTGATGGTATGACGTTATTTAGCGGGCTGAAAACAAGGTTGTAAACATCATATCACATAATATTTCGATTTTTTTTAAAGAAAACATTATAAATCAATATCAATTATTTTATCATATTATTTTGAATTTTTTGATTTAATATAAATATATTTATAAATATTTATATATATGAATTTATACGTAATACTATTACTTATAATATGTAAAATAAATATATAATATTTTAAAAAATCAAATAAATAAATTTAAAAGTATAACAAATAATATTATCAATTTGTCATAATATTTTTAAAGATTTAATATATGATATTTAAATAAGTATTTTTTTCATGTAAAAAAATATATTAAGATAAAAACAAAAAATGAAAAAAAAAATAATTTTAGCTTTTGAATTTTTAAATTTTAGAAAATAATTACAATTGTTTTCTTAAAAGATATTGAAATATTTATGAATTTTGATTTGAAAAAATAAAATATATAAAATTGCAGTAAAAATTAAAAAAAATTAACTTTCAAGAATTATTTTGTTCATTAATTTATTTTAGTAAGTTAAAAATAATTAAACAGTAAAAAATAAATTATAAATTATAAAATATATTTTATATTTTATATTTTATATTCATATACTGTCCAATCTATTGAAATTCATTAAAACCAATCAAAATTAATAAAAATAATTGATATCCAATACTAAATTCAATATAAAAATTTATCTTCAAATATATCGTATTGTGATACATGCCAACCAAGTTTATGCATATTAACATCGGCTGAAAAGCATATTCAAGCTTTAGACCACGGTCTGTGGTAGTAACTTGATTTTTTTTTTTTTTACAATGATCGGAAAATCTAAACCATTCTCTTTGAACAAATCAGGACACATCAATCATTGATCGGAGGGGCTGAAAAGGGTGCACCTCTGTTTTTAAAACAATGAATTTTCTAAACTTTCAAAAATTTCTAAACTTGACCCAACTCAAAACCCAATCAAAACATGGCTGACCCAACACAATCCATAACCCAACCAAATAGGACAGGTATCATGCACAGGGCTCTTTATTAGAATTAATATACTTTAAATAAAGCACCAAATAATCACTACTAGAAATTCCAACTTACTAAATACGCATAGTACTGAACACACTTACCTATTTTGAAAAAAACAAAAAAAAAAAACACCAACAAAACTGCAAAATAATATAAAAAAATTTTTTGCTGGTTTTCACAAGAGTGAAATCATTTATTATTTCCAGTCAGCCGAAAAGATTAAATTCGTTTTTAATTTTGATATAGTATATAACTGCATCATTTAATGCATATCACAGCATTGAATGTTATTAGAAAAAGAAATAAAGTGAAAGAATTGATAACCACATGCAGCAAAAGTGGACTGCATCAGTGGCAATATTATCTCTCCCACACAGCCCCAACACCTTATTCAAACCCATCTGACCATCGGAACTCCTTTTTCCTCCAAAACTTTCCAACCACCCAAACAAAACTCCTACCAAAATCTAAACCTACAAGTCTAAACCACAAAAGATATCAATAAATTGTAGTAAAAAGAAATAATCAAAAACCATCCGGATGTATTGTTTTTCTCATCAAACTCTTTGGTACTCTCTCCTCAGTACCTGTAGTGAGCAGGCTTGTAAGGACCCTCTATGGGCACACTTATGTAATCAGCTTGATCCTTGGTGAGCTTGGCAAGCCTAGCTCCAAGCTTGCCAAGGTGAAGAGCAGCAACCTTCTCATCCAGGTGCTTGGGCAAAACATACACCTTCTTCTCGTACTTGCCGGTTGCCTTCTCCTTCCATAGCTCGAGCTGGGCAATCACCTGATTTGTGAATGAGCAGGACATCACAAAACTAGGGTGGCCAGTGGCACAGCCCAAGTTCATGAGACGCCCCTCAGCCAGCACAATGATGCCTGAGTTGGTTTCAGGGAAGACCCACCTATCAGTTTGAGGCTTGATGGTGATGCGCTTGACACCGGGATAATTCTCAACACCTAACATGTCGATTTCATTGTCGAAGTGACCAATGTTGCAAACAATGGCATTGTTCTTCATTTTCCTCATGTGATCAACCATGATGATGTCCTTGTTACCGGTTGTGGTGACAAATATGTCAGCCTCAGAGACAACATCCTCAAGAGTCAGAACCTGAAGTCCTTCCATGAGAGCCTGAAGGGCACAGATGGGATCAATCTCGGTGACAATGACGCGAGCACCAGCTTGCTTCAAGGCAGCAGCACAGCCCTTGCCAACATCACCATAACCACAGACAACAGCAACTTTGCCGGCAATCATGACATCGGTAGCTCTCATCAAACCATCAGGAAGAGAGTGACGGCACCCATACAAGTTATCAAACTGTTCCAATAGCCAAATCAAATCAATAATTGGATCAGAATACAGAAATGACAATCAAAACCACAATTCAATTGATAAACAAAAGACTGTTACAGCATTCAACAATGGAAATCTACTAAAATTGCCGATCAAAACCAAACATTACTAAGAGTAAGAACAGAGCAAGCAAACACCAGATCTGAAGCAATTTTTTTTAAATGAAGGTCATTTCGAAATCAATTTCATCAGATCTGCATTAAAAAAAAAACCATATTCATAATGTAAAAAATTGAAAAGGCAAAGCAGCAATGATAAATGGAAAACAAATAATACCTTGCTCTTGGTGACAGAGTCATTGACATTAATAGCAGGGAACAACAAGGTTCCATTGGCCTGCATCTGATAAAGCCTCTTAACTCCAGTTGTAGTTTCCTCAGAAACACCAACTAATCTTTCCTTCATTCTCGTATACTTCTTGGGATCTGTCTTCAACCCATCCCTAATAATCGTCAAAACAATCTGAAACTCAGCGTTATCGGTAGATGTCGGATCTGGGAGCTGCCCAGTTTTCTCAAAAACCTCCTCGGCTTTAACACCTTCATGGATCAACAAAGTAGCATCCCCACCATCATCCACAATCAGATCAGGCCCACCAGTGGGACCCCAGTCAAGGGCTCTCTCAGTACACCACCAGTATTCCGATAGGGTCTCACCTTTCCAAGCGAACACGGCAGCGGAGTCACGAGCTATGGCGGCGGCGGCGTGGTCTTGGGTTGAGAAAATGTTGCAAGAGCACCAACGGACTTCGGCTCCGAGGGCGGTTAATGTTTCAATAAGAACAGCGGTTTGGATCGTCATGTGTAGAGAACCAGTGATTTTGGCTCCTTTGAAAGGCTGGGCAGGGCCGAACTCGGCTCTGCAAGCGATGAGACCGGGCATTTCGACTTCGGCCAACTCAATCTCGAGACGACCGAAGTCGGCCTGAGACATGTCCTTGACCTTGTATTCACGGCCGCTAGAGGTTTTCTCCACTAAAAGAGCCATGGCTAAAAGAAAAGCACTAAAGAGGGAAGAACAAAACACACTCTCCCTTTGATGAAGAACCAAGAGAGGGCAGTGGGCAGGGAAAGGTGGGGAAGTAGGGATGTTATAAATAGGTTAGAATGGTGAAATCGACGATCAAGATTGGGCCCGGTGGGGTTGGTGCATCTCGATAAAAAAGAACTAAAGATTTGGCCATTCGGGTGATTGCTTGAGAGAGGAAATGGTTAGGCGTAAGGGACGCAAGATGAAGCGGGGCCCGTGCGGGTGCGGTTGGGAAATCGAGGATAGTATTGGGGTGGGGTTGTCAGTGTGTGTTAGTTTTACTTCACATAGTCCTGCTGATTTTTACTATTGCCTTTTTCTTTTTTTTTTATGTGGTCCATACTTTTCGATTTTTCCACATTTTAAGTCTTTCTTTCAATAATAAACTATCCAAAGTAATTTTTGGATTAAATGCTAAAATAAAGTTAAACGTTTAGATGACTATTTAATTTAAAAATAAATATTTTAATTTATGTAAATAAAAATTAAATATTATGAATTTATAATAATATAAAATTATTTTAATGAAAAATGTGATGTACATGTTATGTGTTGTTATAATGCAAAAAAAGAATAAGAATCAATTGATTACATAAATTTATGTTGATTTTAATTTTTTTTATTATTTAAAAAAATAAAAATTTATTTAAGAAAAAAAAACTTAAGTTTAACCCAAATACAAAAAAGTAAAAAATTATCAAATCCAAGTAGATTGTCTTTACCTTTACTCACCTAGATAAGTTATTTCAATAACTAAATTAATTTTATTTGTTAATTTTTGTGAGGTAAGGGTTTTTCAATAGCCTATTTTAAGGTAACCAACATTTAATTCAATCGATTATGCTTCAAGAATTGATTTTGTTTAGATTTCAATTGTTTGAGCTTTGAAATTTTGAAATATTAGTTATTGGTTTTTTGTTAAATTTGTGTAAGGTGAATAATATGGTAAATAATATATACCCATATTTTGGGTTTTATTGTTCTTCATAGTTAACCATTTTGTAATTAAAGATTTTTTATTATTTTTCAAAGTTAGGCATAATTTGATTTAAGATTTTATATGGTTCTTCATTTTGGGATTCTATTATTACTTTTAATTGCTTAAATTTATAGTTAAAGTTTTTGTTATTGTTCTTAATTACTCAAATTTATATTTAAGGTTTTTTGTTGTTATTCTTAATTGTTCAAATTTATAGTTGAGGTTTTTATTTTATTTTCAAAGTATCTTGTATTTAGATTTATTTATTTAGTTAAAAAATCATATATATATATATTAATTTTTGTATAATTATCATAAATTTTTTTATATATGATGATTTTTTTTATTTATTTTATTAATAATAAATATTTAAACGATAAATGATACATTTATTAGCAAAAAAAGAAATATTTTATTTGATTGCTATTTTTATTTATAAAATATCATCAATTAAGGTATTTGATT